TGCAGTTTTTCATAAATGTAGTTCGTTAAAGTTGGATACCGCAACAAGATTATAAAAATTTATTTATTTAGAAAAGGAAATCACTGATACGTGGATTGGGGATTGAGATGACTATTTTTACCGTGTATGGATACATTTTTATTAAATTCGGGGAATTTTTTAAGTTTTGCAATTATCTTACCGTTCGTTATTGTCAAGTGTTTTCATTCGATAACAATCGAATTCACGAGAAATTTTACGGTGCTGTACTTATCAAATATTACATTCTAAGTTGCTTCTATAATGCAGTGTGTGCATGTGTCTTGTACGCACTCGTTGATCTCTTTCATTACAGAGATGACAAATCACATGAGAAAAAGTATAAACTATAAACGATTTGAGGTAGCTGAAGATGAGTAGTCCGAGTTTCCTCTGACCCTTGCCACCCCATTTTTGATATTTGGACATTAATGTTGGGGTTTAGGGTCAGAGTCCATTGCCAATAGAAAAGTTGGAATTCGCTGACACCGTTTGGTATCGGTATAGGGTAACCACTTACTAGCCAGCCTAGCAAACTTTAACGACCCTTCATCGAGATATACCTGTATGAAATATATATGAATATGATTTATTTTCTGAGAAATTGCGAGTTTATTCGTTATATCTTTAATCTGCTGAAAGACAAACCGAAACTATTGGCGTTGTTGAAATTTGATTTGGAACTCGCCATTTACACTCCGAGTCACATGACTACACAAATCTCGCAACCAATATGTGTTCAACGTTCAGTGTTCAAATAGTCACGTGATATCAACAATTAACCAGTTATTATGTTGCTATAGGAAAACAAAATGAGCATATAAATGAAAGTCACGTAATATTTATAGAAAAAGAAAAGAACATAAACTTCTAAAAATATTTATTCTGGAAATAACGACAAGAAATCTGTAAATGTTACAAAAACTTGGAAAAAAGACAGATCCAACAAGAGGAGAGCACGTGTCAACGCTGTAGTCACGTGATACCAGCAAAATAAATCGCTGACACGTGCTTAGTACTTGATGAATCTGGTTTCTCTACCTTGTGCGATACCGATACGTTTGTAGTCGTTGTTCTCAGAATAAATATGTTGAATTAAGTGAGCATTATATTTATGCTCAAGTATTACGTTACTCTTAATTAAACTTAAGAATTCTATGTATAACAACTTTCGAAATGGTATATAGTTGAAATGATGAGACTATTGGACCTCTGATGTCATTGACATGTAGGTTTTGAGATTTGTGTAGTCATGTGACTTGGAATACAAATGACGAATTCAGATCAAATTTAATCAACGCAACAGTTGCATCTAGTCTCTGAGGATTAACGATCTAACGAATGATACACTCGCTATTTCTGAGAAAAATCATTTTCATATCGATTTCATACAGGTATATCTCGATGAAAGGTCATTAAGGTTTTCTAGGCTGGCTAGTAAGCAGCTACCCTATGCCGGTGTCGGCGAATTCCAACTTTTAGATGGTGAATGGACTCTACCCTACACCCCAACATAATTGTTCAAATATCAAAAATAGGTGGCATCACGTCCTTCTTGTTGAATAGTCTCATCGGTGATGCCAAGATGCACTCATCATCCTTCATGCAGATGAAACTACACCAGAGCATACTGTATTTATGAATAAAAGAGAATCGTTGATTCTCCCATGGGTGATGGAGAGTGCATCTCGACGCAGAATAACGCTTGATTATATTGTATCCGTGAATACATTAGACTGATTGAATAATACTATGGGCAATGTCGAGATACCTACTCCCTTGCCGACTTAGAAACAGCGCTAGAACATAATGAACATGTATCTGTGAATACAGTGGAAAGCAATGGAGATTTGATTCGAATTATGGAATCACAATTGATCACTATGTCTCAAAGGCTTTGTTGTCGGTATATCAACGAATAGAAATGGCCTTATTGCAATCACACTGTGTATATGCATGTGGCCCCGCCAATGGCTCACAAACAAATGTGACCACATACTTGAGGCGAAAGGACTTGCAATTTGTAACCCCGTCCGTGCATGAAAATATTTAGAAAACAAACCGGATTTGAATATTTGCAACTTGACCAATACGGTAAGGACGGACGTGTCCTTATCGGACCTAAGAGCATACATCCTCTTTTGTACACAGTTCCAATTTGTCCAGCCAGCCGTACGATGGAGCTATATGGACGTTTACAATTATCAGGAGTCAATTATCTCATACTAGCTGGTTGGTCGCCCAGACCGACCGTTCCTATGAAATTCATCATATATATATATATATATATATATATATATATATATATATATATATATATATATATATATATATATATATATATATATATAATGCTATTGATGCTTCATTATTTTCCGTTAATGAATGTGATAAAACGTAAGTAAATGCTGGAACATACCAATTCGACATTGGAACGGACCAAATTTGGTTAATGGCAACGACAAAGCAAACTCCGTCGGAATGTCACTCTCCACCTTGAATCCATTCTACCTTCAAGGTTAGTGCCTTGGTAGACAAAATATTTGGTCGTTCTTGCCACAATGGTTAATGTTTGTAATTACAGAGCATCTCGTGAAGCAATAGCTTCGTTATGGTAAGTCACTTACATGCAGCTTTCACCACCACCATTCCACCACCACCCCACCCCACTGTAAAAAGTCACGTAGACAGATAATTTCTCCACACGTACATTGTGTAGATGTTGTTAAGTTGTTACGACAAATTTTAAACGCAACTTTAAAAAAAGCATTACGTCAGGAACGTTGTGTCGACTTCTTGATTTCGCGCATGTGACGACTTTTTCTTCTAGTCAAAAAAGGGGCTAGCGATCATTGCTGTTTTCGTATGTGCTTCTTTTTGGCTCTCCATTTCCTTCAGGGTGTCAAGTTGACCAGGTAATAAAAGCAAGATGCACAAGAGTTGTACTTTAACTTTCAGTGTAGTCTACTGTCTCTACCAGATCCTGTTCATGTGAATGGGCAATTGTCGCCAGAGAATTCTCAGTGGCGATTCTCAGCAACGAAATGTCCTATTTTCACAGGCAGGAAGGATAGAGATTTTCTCTTTCCCCAAGTCTTTTGCCAATCATCAATAATACACCGTACCCACGCTCTATGACAACCCACCTGAGGCGCAGACCATTAGTCCCTTGTCTTCAGATTTGGACTAACCGTTCTAGCTAAACGATGGGAGATCTAGACGGTGTCAGATTGTCTCATGATTTCGTTATCTGGACCCCTCCACTTTCGCCGTATTACCATCATGAAAGAACTCCAACTTAAGAGAAAAGGGTAAATGTTTTCTTTTTTTCTGAAATACGAGTAGCTTAATAAGAACACATGTTATACCATTTTTAGCTCGTAGATTATTGTCTTTTGTCCATTATGCGCCGTCCATTTTTCCTTCAACCGCTTCTTATAAACACTCTGGTGGCTTCTTTTTCGATTGAATCTTAATGAAATTTGGTATGTCAGCTTAAATCATAGATACCTCTGTCAAGTTTCATTATGAACGACATCCACGCGTATTAATGAGGTGGTCTATCTTGTATTTGAATGACTGATATTGTGAACATTCTAGAGAACATACTGGTATGTAAACTTATGTCATCAAGCTGTCGTATCTATCTATCTATCTATCTATCTATCTATCTATCTATCTATCTATCTATCTATCTATCTATCTATCTATCTATCTATCTATCTATCTGTCTGTCTGTCTGTCTGTCTGTCTGTCTGTCTGGTTGTGCGTGTGTGCTCATGCTCTCCAAGTTTTCTTTTCTCCTCAACAGTTTCACTTTCTGAATTTGAATTATCATCCACAATTGACATTAGGAAATGGCTCTTGTTTCTTTTTTTAATAGAACATATTTCGAATACACAGGCTTAGTTCATACACGAGAAGGGTTATGTCAGATTACTGTTGTTGCTGATTTAAGTTTCAAATTAGAAAAAGAACATGTTTTAAACATGGAATCAACTTTTGTATTGCGAATAAATAGCGCACCTTGTGGATTCATCGAGTATTATTTCCGTTTCTAGGATTACTTCAGTTTTAAAGGTTTGTATAATAGAGCGGCACATGAATTAGAGGCTGGTAAGGCCCCCTACCACCACTTACACAAAACACATAATATGTAATTGTTTTCTAAGATTACTTAGGCTTAATGGTTTTCTAATAGAGTGACAAATATAGTATTGTTCTCTTTACATGAACGAAACACATAAATATATCCAGAACCCTTTTTCCAGACTCCTTTTTCTGCCAGTTGGGATGGGGTGGGGTGAAGGTCGATAACTTTGCCATGGGATATTATTGCATGTGTGTTGGAATGGTTGCATGTTATGATTAATAACAAATGAGCACACACAGGCCAGGCCCTAGGATGTGCGGGGCCCAATGCAACAAGCAAAAAAAAATTTTTAAAAAAATACTGCATTAGGGAGAAGCGTGAAGAAAAAGGCGATTGCCTTGTTCACCTTGCTCTAGGGCCAGGCCTGAGTACACTAGATTTGAAAAGACATACCCTCTGAGTTTATTTTGTTTAAAAATAATATATATATATATATATATATATATATATATATATATATATATATATATATATATATATATATATATATATATATATATATATATATATATATATATATTTGGATACAAAGACACGTATTCTTATTTTAAAATGAAATTAGTCGAATTAGCATTATATAATACATGATCCAAGTGAAAAAAGCCAATGAAATGTTTACATACATTAATTCACCTAATTGTGTGTGTATCTCAGACAGACAGACAAAGACAGAGAGTATGAAACACACATTGAGAAACATGTGACTGGTCTTTTTCAAGGAATCCAGTGAAGATAATTCTTTGTCTCAAATCACAAAACATATTAACACACATATGTCGAGCAAATAATATTTAGCTAATGCTGACATCTAGTTACTTCTACCTTAACCGCTCCGGTGGCCTACTGGTTAGAGCGTACGCCTCATATGCGGGAGGTCGCGGATTCGAACCCCGGTTGAGTCATACCAAAGACTTATTAAAAAATGACACTAACAGCTGCCTTGCTTGGCGCTTAGCATTAAGAGGTTAGTGTTAGGACTGTTGCCCTGGTTGTCAGGATAAGATAATGTGACTGGGTGGGACATCATGCCACATGTCTGCGGCATGATGCCCCAGTGCTAAACATTACTATGAACAGTCACACTGCAGACATCGTAGCGATATGACTGAAAAATTGTTAAAGCTTCGTTAAAATCCTAAAACACACACAGAGACATACACACACTTCTACTTTAATTATCATTAAAGCGAAAAAAAAAAATTAAATTGACTCAGTTGAAACCGCAATATAGTATTTGACCACAAAGACTATCGTAACGGTAATGCAAGCGATTAAACTCTCTCTCTCTCTCTCTCTCTCTCTCTCTCTCTCTCTCTCTCTCTCTCTCTCTCTCTCTCTCTCTCTCTCTCTCTCTCTCTCTCTCTCTCATACTGTTTTGGAAATAAAGAACATGAAATGTTATGTATTTTCTTTTTACGAATGTAAAATAATTAAACACTGATGTAATACACCTTTTAAACAATGTTGGAATACGTTTTTGTGACTGAAATTTCATACATTTCGCTATTTTAGGGGAATAAGTGTGGGAAGCTTAATATGTTCATGATTAAACTCTTGTTTTATTTGGCCCAAAATCCCCATCTTTCACACGATGAAATGGAAGACGTTGATATATATCACAAATTTACGGAATAAAGTACCATTAAGAGTCCAAATGATAATGTAAATATTCCCTAAGCAAATTGCAGTTCAAAGGCCAGTGTTTATCTTGAAATATAAACAAGGGTTGATGGCGGGCGTGGAGATAGGCCGGGACCTTTGATGCCAAGTTGTATAAATTTTCTGATCCCGTGCAATATGAGTCCGGACGGCGGGTCTTTCGTCGCTTTCCCGGCATATGGGAGGGTATCAAAGCTGAACCCGTTGGTCAAGATAAGGAAATTTTGTTAGCACCCTTTGCATGCCAACTTAATAGTATTGGATAATTAATTAAATAGCTCAAAGGCATCTCAGAGACCTTTCTTACACCATTTCAATGCCTTATTGCGTTTTCTTCTTGCAGTAGGAACCATATTACAGACAAGCTGTATACGTTCTACTTTGTAACAGTCGTGAAACCCTACTTCAGAATTAGTCACGATTAAAATCACCTAAATTATCATTGACAATGTATATGTGAAGGAATTGACGTTAAATTAAAGTCAGAATAATGAATGCTACACTGATCAGTGCTCGGGCATTCCCCCTTTCTTTCTTTCTTCCTTTCTTTCTTTTCAATACCTTGTTAGACAATTTGAAGGTTAACAAAAAAAACCCCATTAAATTCATTTGGCTTTACACCCTTTAGAGAATATTTTGCACTGTAGCACTGATATGGTTTTGGAGGATACACGGGAAGATGTGTAATGGTCTCTCATTAGACGGATGGTGGTCAATTGAGATATCACATTTGTTATCATTTGGGAAGGAGTTTAACTCTCTTTCTGTGATACGTCAAGAAGATAGGCAATAATTCACAGTGGCCGATTGTTCCAATTGAATATAGAGGAATGGAAATTGATGGAGCAGTGATGGGAATTTTATAACGGTTCTGTTGATAAAACGGTTATAGGTCAGTCTACACCGTCAAAAGATGCTTGCAGGTGTTCAAACCTATACTATGTTACTTTATCATTTTGTTTAAAATTAAGTTTCATTCTTATCATTAATTATTATGGCAATTCGATTTATTGTTGTTTTTGTTTGTTTTTTTTAAGATTGAGACCTGACTTGAACAATTTAAATAGTAAATATTATATGTAACTTGCGTGACTAAATGATGTGTGCAAAATATTATTAACAATTCTGAGAATACATTCTTAGTAAATTAACCCCAATAGTATTTGCAATTTTCATTTCCATCTTCTCTTGTAATAATTTATCACAATTTTGTTAATAAAGTTTCAATAAAGGTGTAATTTAGAAGTTTGAAATGTGTACGGCATATATCCAAAGTGGATGGAAGTTTGGGAAGATTAAATCTTGTACAGTTTCTATTCACATCGTATGGAAGTTTGGGAAGATTGAATCTTGTACAGTTTCTATTCACATCGTATGGAAGTTTGGGAAGATTAAATCTTGTACAGTTTCTATTCACATCGTATGGAAGTTTGGGAAGATTGAATCTTGTACAGTTTTTATCCATATCGTATGGAAGTTTGGGAAGATTAAATCTTGTATATTTTTTATCCACATCGTATGGAAGTCTGGGAAGATTAAATCTTGTACAGTTTCTATTCACATCGTATGGAAGTTTGGGAAGATTAAATCTTGTACAGTTTCTATTCACATCGTATGGAAGTTTGGGAAGATTAAATCTTGTACAGTTTCTATTCACATCGTATGGAAGTTTGGGAAGATTAAATCTTGTACAGTTTTTATCCACATCGTATGGAAGATTGGGAAGATTAAATCTTGTACAGTTATTATCCATATCGTATGGAAGTTTGGGAAGATTGTATCTTGTACAGTTTCTATTCACATCGTATGGAAGTTTGGGAAGATTAAATCTTGTACAGTTTCTATTCACATCGTATGGAAGTTTGGGAAGATTGAATCTTGTGTAGTTTTTATCAACATCGTATGGAAGTTCGGGAAGATTTAATCTTGTGTAGTTTTTATCCACATCGTATGGAAGTTTGGGAAGATTGAATCTTGTACAGTTTTTATCCACATCGTATGGAAGTTTGGGAATAATAAATCTTGTACAGTTTTTATCCACATCGTATGGAAGTTTGGGAAGATTAAATCTTGTATAGTTTCTATTCACATCGTATGGAAGTTTTGGAAGATTGAATCTTGTACAGTTTCTGTTCACATCGTATGGAAGCTTGAGAAGATTGAATCTTGTGTAGTTTTTATCAACATCGTATGGAAGTTTGGGAAGATTAAATCTTGTACAGTTTCTATTCACATCGTATGGAAGTTTGTGAAGATTGAATCTTGTACAGTTTCTGTTCACATCGTATGGAAGTTTGTGAAGATTGAATCTTGTACAGTTTCTATTCACATCGTATGGAAGTTTGGGAAGATTGAATCTTGTACAGTTTCTGTTCACATCGTATGGAAGTTTGGTTTTACAGTAGGTTCAACACTACTGCTGATCATACAACGCTTTTAAAGTCAATGCTTATGGTTTTTAATTTTAGAATTGACTGCATCAGGCCTCGTTATTCGAATTGTCCTTGACTGCCGTGGACAGTAATTAAGGAACGGCAGAACAAAGGCTAATGTCAGCATGTTATCAAATAATCATCTCAAAAGAGTACAGATCTCTCTCTCTCTCTCTCTCTCTCTCTCTCTCTCTCTCTCTCTCTCTCTCTCTCTCTCTCTCTCTCTCTCTCTCTCTCTCTCTCTCTCTCTCTCTCTCTCTCTCTCTCTCTCTCTCTCTCTCACCTTACACGCTTTCCATAAAGCATTTTGATATATCAGTACTGTTGGTATATCAAATTGTGATCCGTCATTGGTGCATTCATACGCTTATATAAATATTAGTTCAACAATAGTATATTGCCTCTTTAATTTCTAGATCAGTCACGGATTTAAAAAAAAAATAAAAAAAGGTTTTTCTTTTTTGTATCTTTTAAAAATTAAGGTTATTTGGCTCTTCTTCGGTCCTTTGTGCTATAAAGCAGTGGTCCCCAACCTTTTAGTCGCCGCGGACCGGTCAACGTTTGATAATTTTACCGCGGCCCGCTGAGGGGGGCGGGACGTTGATTGTTTATATTTTAGATTGTTCTGATTAAATAATTTTAATTTAATTGTATTTAAACATGCTTTCAAAATAAAATACAATTACACCAAAAATGAATATAAATAAATTTAAATGAATAAAAAGTGAATATAAACCAAAGAGAAATACACAACAGTAAATAAAATGGAAATAATTTAATGTACCTTGGGCGGCCCGGTACCATTTGATCCACGAACCGGTACCGAGGGTTCGGAACCACTGCTATAAAGGATTTAAAATCCATCTAAATGCAGGGGGTAACATAAATAAATAAAAGAAATGTTACTCTCTACATGATGCAATCAATGTATCATCTTTATGATAATAAATATTATTATCACTTATTTATTATTAATATAAAAAGAGAGACGACCCAGAACAAACTGAAAATTGGTCTTTTTTTATTTCAGTGCACCTTCTCACTCTCAAAATATAAATAAAGAATTTCAAATTAAAAATTACTTTAATTTAAAAAAATTGATACACGGAATGCGGTAGGAAAATTTGGATATCTCTTGATTTGATAAAACTGCCGTCCTTACAAAGCACTATATAGCGAACACACAATATAGCATAACACATATAGCATACACAGGACTTAGGAGACCTCTGGCAAGGGTAACAAAACTTTGAAAAAGGCTAGAGAGACCCAGAAAGTAATTAGAACTTGATCGGATGAACGAACCTTCAGATACATTAGGAAAAATAAATACCCGTCAAAAATTGTCTAAAAATATTTGTTTGATCAAAATTCTTTATATAAAATAATACATTACAACGCACCTTGGGGAAACAGAAACACATGGAATACTTTTCTTTTTCTCGGCTAATTAGGTGCACCCCCACCCCATATGCCAACAGAGAAACATAGGGATAGACTTTAGACTAAGATACATAGGGATAGACTTTAGACTAAGATAAGTATGGATAGACTTTAGACTAAGATACATAGGTATAGACTTTAGACTAAGATATATAAGGATAGACTTTAGACTAAGATACATATGGATAGACTTTAGACTAAGATACATAGGGATAGACCTTGGACTGACATATATATGGATAGATTTTAGACTAAGATACATAGGTATAGACTTTAGACTAAGATACATAGGGATAGTCTTTAGACTAAGATATATAAGTATAGACTTTATACTAAGATACATAGGGATAGACTTTAGACTAAGATAC